CAATTTGGCCATTTCATCCCACTACTTTGACAGCTGCACTGGTTTCCTGTTGGCTTTGGGTTTAGTTCAAGTTGCTGGTTCTCACTTTAAAGTCTTACATGACTCAGGACCTTGTAATCTTTGGGATTGATTATATCTTCCCATCCAGTAAGATATGGAAGTGCAGGCTTTCTTCTAATTCCTTCTGTTAGGGAATGTCACCAACAGGGCTCATAGAAGCAAGCCTTCTCATTCTTGCCCTCTTCTGTGGAATAGCATCCTCCAGAAATCTGAATATTGATAGCCATTTTCTGGCCAGTATTGACTTAGGCCATTAAAACATGCCTATTCCTGAAAGCTTTGAAGCTGAGACATTTTAATGTTGTTCCCTCTTATTTTGGAGTATTTGTCTAATGAAAATGGTCTTCCAAGTATTATACGTGTAGATGTAATTTGATTTTCATATTGTAATTGTGTTATTTTTAATTTTTTTATGATCTTATTTTTTTTAAGAAAACAATCTTTAATCTTAAAGAAAAAAGAAAATTTAAAAATTACAAACTAAAAATGCAAAAACTAAGAGAAAAAAAATCTATCTTATATTTTCTACTTCTCAGTAGTCACTGGTTTAGCAATGAATTCACTACTATAATATGAATAATACAAGATATTATTGTAAGATATCACAGAATCTCTACTATATTGCAATAACACATATTGCTGCATCCTTTGATTAGTAGAGAATATTGCCTTTTCCCAAACTGATTAATCACACATTCCCAACAACCATAACTTGAGCCCTCAAATTTTTTACATCTCCAGCATAGAAAATTTGACGACCATCCTTTCAGATACATTATTTGGAAAGTCCAATATACCCTAAATACATTTTTTGATGAATCACCCATAATCTCAGATCTGTAAATACCATTTTAACATTTTAAGGACATGAAGCCATTGATGTGGCTTAATCAGAAATTCAGGTTCTTTAGTCCATGCTTGTAATATCCCAGAAATGTCCACTTCAAAAATATTCTTGAGCTTTTGATAGAGATATGTTATAGGTTTTATTTTTGTCATAGATTCCATCAAGTAAGAAAGCAACTCGGGCGCCTTTGAGGGAGCCAGAGCATCTGGTCCATATTGATCCATTAGAACATGCTTAAGCTGAACGTACCTCCATTGTTGTGAACTGGAAGGACCAAATTTGAACTGAAGTCAGGAAAAACCCTTAAAATAATGATTACATAGTCATTGATTTAAAGTCATGATCCCAGCTTCAAGCTTTCCAATAATATGATTTACCACTGATTTCAAAGTAGAATTTTTCCAAAGAGTTAAATATTTATGAGTCTCATTATTAAAGCTCAATTTACATCCCAATGTGGCCCAAAGATTTTTCACCACTCACACAAACCCCTAGAAATGAAACACCTTTTCTGCTATATGTTGCTCCAAGTACTTGCCATGATTGCTAAGGAAATAGATAATAACTTTCTAACTTAACTCATAAGGAATAATATTCCATTATATTTTCATTCCACCAACAGGTGGCTGATAAAATATTAGACCAATGGCATTTTTGCAAATCAGGTTAATTAAAGCCATCTTCCTCAAATGATTGTCCCAATTTAGCTAAGGAATATCTTTGTGGTCCAATCAAAAGAAAACATTAATTTGATATTAATATAGGAATACCTCTAAGAACATATATCAAATGAGGGGCAATATTAATTTTAATAACATTAACTCCCTCCCCCCCCCCCACATACACAGTTCAAAGAAATTTTAAGCCATCTAATAACATCCAGTTCAACCCTTTCTAAAAGTTTCAGCATATTTATTTCCATATATTTTGAAATATTTTGGGGTATATAAAGCCCCAAATATTTAACATAATTAGTATAAATCACAAAACCCATATCTTTACATAATTGTATTGCTATATTAGAGCTCAGAGGAAGTAAGCAAGTTTTATCCCAATTCATCTTATAAGTAGAATACTTTCCCAAATACTGCACAACCTTTCTAAAGTTAGGCAAAGAAATAGAATAGTGATCCAAAATTATCCAAATACCATCAGCATACAGAAATAATTTATACTTACACCCTGCCAATGTAATACCCTTAATATCTAAAGACTGCCTTACCACGGTGGCCAAAGGTTCAAGAATTGTATTATTTTTTAATTTGATTTACAGATGTTGGGTACATATGCCATTCAGTCATCAGTGATTGGAATGGCATATAAGGCAAATAAATATATAAATGACAGAATGTTGATGGTCCAATGTAATGGTATAAGAAAGGCTGTAGTCAGTGGGATGCTGGTAAATGTTTAAGAACGGGCTCTACCAGCTCCATTGCTACTTCTGCCCTGCTAGTCATGGAACAGCTGATTGGTGCAGTTCTGCTCTCAACCAGCTCACAAAATTCCCCCAAATTTAAAAATCAGCTCTCGGGAGCAGGTACAAGCAGGCTCCAATATACCACTGGTTATGATATTTAAGATGCTCAAATGCTATAGCCTTCTAAGGATATTTTGGTTACACTAGGGAGTAATTCTTTATATTAGAATTCCATTGCCTTACAATAATGCCATTCTAGTTATGACACAATATGGCACATGATGCAAAAATATTCAGATCTGTAATGCTGTGGTGATTATAATTTAGTATTATTTAAAACATACAGTTTATCATACATATTTAAACACTGTGGGTCAGTATTTAGAGATATACATATATAGAGTGCAATTTCTTTCATATTTGCTTTGTCTTGCATTGCCCTCAAAGATCAAAATATATTTTAAAAAAGGAAATTTTACAACATGCTAATGGCAATAGGAAGGATCCCGGGCTATTCAGATCATATTTTACAGTGAATCTTTAATTGTTTAAATATTTGTGACTTCAGATATTTCCATTTAGTTTCTTTCTGTACAGAACACTTCTAAATTATCACGAGATCTGTATGAGTTAGTTGCTCTGAATTTATGAAATTTATTTTAATTCTTAAGGCTTGGAGTAATTCTTTCAAGTTCCTTTGGTATATTCAGGTTCCTTTGGTATTATTATCTTGAAACATAAAATACCGTTCCCCAAAATTATTAATTTATAGTGCTAAATTTCAGGTTGTTTTTCTTTGTTGCTCCACTGTAACTTGGAACTTCTGTTTTGTTTCTCCCTATCTTACTATCTCTTTTTCTTTGCCTGTTACAACTCTCACACCAGCATAAATAGTTGATGGTGTAACTGCTTGCATTTTAAGCTACCAGCCTATTTGATTAGTCTTCAAAAGGATTGTAATTTGGCATTTGTGCCAAATTAGAAATATTATGAACCTGGAAAATGGCAAATTCTGCAGTGTATCTAGAATTGATTTTTCAGTCTGAATACCTAGGAATGGTTTTCCATCACAGTCTGTGCTATATTAGAGTCTTCTGACAGATCTCACAAATCAGCTCTTATAAAAATGTATCATAGATTTCTTTCATATCCTTATTTAGAACTATGTATTTTAAAGAAGAGTGCTCACAAAAATATATATGTAATGGTGAAGTAAATCCTAAAGCTAATTGCTTGAGAGAAAAAACTGTTTTTAAAAAGTATGAATAAAGCTGTAGGAGAAACATATATAAAAGTATATATACATTTTTATACAGCCTCCTGCCCTTTTGGGGGGTGGGGCAAATTCATAAACCACTAGAGAAATAGGCTGAAATAAATTATGAATTGGGTGGAAAGTTGGTAAGAAGATAGGTAAGAATTGGTAAGAATCAGCCATTTGCAATATACTCTCATAGATAATTCTTGGATAACCATGGATGGGGAGGAGCAAGAACAAGAAAAAACAATCCTTGATTTAAAATATGTTCACCCACTTATCTGTATGCTCTCTACCATACAAATATAAAACAAGCAATAAAGAGATTTTGACTGAAGATAGTAATATACAAGGTGCAATTCTGAAAATACCAGTTCATTTTATTAAAAATAATCATGGCTCTCAGTAATGTATATTTGCATGGCCATACATATAGTTAGACTCGCAAAATAATGTTTATATTACTGGCTTTTATATTATTATTTTTTAAAAAATACACCCAAGACTCAGAAATGGATACTAAAAACCAATCTGTTGATTTTTTTTTTTAAATCAGTGTATTTGAAATATGATTCTGACTCCCAGTCTCAGATCAAAATTTAACTCCTAGGCTGACTATTGCAACTGCCCAATGTCTTTTAGTGGCAGCTGAATGTATTCACATTGCACTAATCAAGCCGATTGATAAAAAAAAAAAATGTATGTGCTTTTTCTTCTGCAGCTTCTTGTGAGTAGGCTTTTTAAGCTAAATAAATGTTCTAATGCATTTATAGTGGGATTGGGATACAGATATGGTATCTCTACGTTTAGTCTGTGCAAGACATTACAATACAAAGGCATTCTTTTGTTCAGATCTATGATAAAAATGTCTTTCACTTGATTTATACTGTTTTTAGGCCTTTCATTTCAAATCTCACTAAGTATTCAAAAACAGCATTTTGCCTGTGCGTTAGTCATTCCATTGTAGATTAAAAGAATGATCAAGCTTAAGGAATTTAATGAAGGTAGAATTGCAACTCAGTTGCTTTTTCACAGATCTCAGAAATGCTGAGGTATATCCTTTGGGATTAGCAGCTGATACATGCTTGGACAACTTTTATGCCTAGTATTTGCATTTCATTTACCATCAGGATTTTGTGCATACTCTATCAATGCCAGTATTCTAAACAGTGGATTTGGAATGTAAGGTTTATTTTCAGTAAGGTTCCTATGTGAATTTACTTGTTTGAAGAGGTAAGATTCTTATTCTCCTTAGAAAATACTCTTGTGTTTGAAAATAATTTTCATATTTCTGAATAGGAATGCTTAATTACAAATCATGTTGTTTATGGAAAACATGAAACAAAGTATTCTGTTTTGAACACTATTTAAAGTGTTTATTGCTCTGTGGTTCATTAAATATGTTTTCTTAAAAGGAAATGCCTACAGTTCTGCTTACTCATCAGATGGACAGACATGAAGGGACGTGGACTATTTTACCATTAATGCATGAGTAAGTGTAAAAACAAGGTATGACATTGGGAAGTACAGACTCGTGGAGTTGCAAGGGACCATTTAGGCCATTAATTTTCATCCCACTGCTGAGTTCAGAAATCAATTTAAATCATCCAAACAGATGGCCGTCCAGTCTCCACTTGAAAACATCCAGCAAAGGAAAACTCTTTCCCTTGATAATTGGTTCCACTGTCAAACTGCTTTTACCATTAAGAATTTTTTAAAATCTGCCTTCCTGTAAGAGTGTTATTCTGTGCCCTGCATTCTAAGGTGATAAAAAACAGGTCTTGGCCTTTTATGTGACAACTCTTCAGGTATTCACAAAGTGCTGTCCTAGTCCCCCTTCAGTTTTCTTTTCTCAGTGGTGAATGTGCCCACTTCCCTCAGTCTCTGCTGGTTAGACTTAATTTCCAGACCATTGACCATCCTTGCAGACCTTCTTTCCATGTATTGTAATTTTTCTGAATCTTTTTTAAAATGTGATACCCTGTAATGAATACGCTCCTAAAAGTGCGGCTTGACTAGTGCAGAAGAGAACAGAATTATTACTTCTGGTAATGTCAAACTTCATTTCTATTGATGTAAATTATTCTTCTTTTGGCTTTGCCGTTTTGGCAGCTGCATCATGTTACTCATTTTTATTCAGCTTGCAATTAACTGCAATTGTACTTCACTCCAGTTTAATGAGAGACTGTCAGTGAGCACTCTTTGTACAATCTTTGTCAGTGAATACTCTTTCAAGCCAGCTGTGGCTCCTTCCAATGGACTTGCCATCCTACCTTTACAGAATGTTACGGGATAGTTTATCAAATGCTTTGCTGGAAGTCAAGTTATATTATGTCCACATTATTCCCATGATCTACTAAGGAAATTACCTAATCAAAAAGAGAAATAAGATTGGTGTGATGACTTCTTCCTGACAATTCCATACTGACTTCTGGCAACCAGTAAATTGCTTTCTAGGTATTTACAAATGGTCATTTTATAATCCGCTCTAAAAATTTTCCCATGTATCCATAACTCTATTTTCTACCTTTGAAGAAGACTGAGAAAACATTTTACCTCTTCTAGCTATCTGGTACTTTACACATTCTCAAAGATAATGGATAGAAATTCCTTCAGTCACCTAAGATGCAATCCATCAGGCTCTGGAGATTTAAACTTGTTCAGGGTCAATTGGTGTCCTCTGCCTGGTTTCTGTCAGCTTTCCGATGAAGTCCTGCCCCTTCAGGCAACTCTTCACAGCCCCCTGGCAGAATGCATTTCAGAGGACACTGAGCCAAAGTAGTAATTATGTTTTTTCTTTCTTAGTTATTACCTTTTACTTTTTTCACTGTACAGTTGATATACTATTCCATTTTATTTAGAACATAACTGAAAAAATCCTTTGTGGTCTTAGTATCCTTCACTGATCTCATTCTTGTTCTGAATTTTAGCTTTCCTAACATAATCTGTACAATACCAGACTACCTGTTGTGCTCTTTCATGATGACTTTATACTTTTCCACCTTCTGTGTATATTTTTTTTTATTTTCAAATCTTTACTAAGCCTTTTGTGTAGCTTCTTCTAGTGTCTTCCCCCCTTTTTTTCCTCATTAGAACTGTTTGCAATGGTACTTTTAGTATTTCATTTTTTAGGAACTCCCACCAATCATGAATTTATTTTCCCATTTGCATCTTCTAATATCTGAACATATCGAACATTGCTCTGAATTTATTAAAATCTACCTCTTGAAGTCTAAGATACATGTTTGCTTACATTTAGCTTTGGTTTCCCTTAATGTCCAGTATTCTCCCAATGTTCCTACTACTTTCAATTCATCAACTAAATCTTTCCTATTTGTTAGGATCAAGTCAAGAATAGCAGATTCCATTATACCTTTCTTCACCTTTTGAAGGAAAAACTAATAAGCAAGACAGATCCAGCATTTCCTGGAAGAACCATCCTTGGCAATGTCTCCCAATGGATGTCAGGTAATTAAAGTTCTAATATCTCATGTTTCTTTGAAAGATTGGCAGTTTTGGTTTTGGAGAACATCATCCACATTTTTTCTTGGTTTAGTGATTGGTAGGAGACACCAACAACAATGTCTGTTGTTATTCTTTCTTCTACTTATTTTAGTCTAGATGCCTTCAGTAAAGCAAGTTCATTCCCTTGGACTTCTGTGGAGTATTTTTAATATTCAGTGCAGTTTTGCCTCCCTTTCTATAAATTATGTTCATTTTGAACAAGTTGTATCCTTGAGTTCTAATCATGAAAATCATCCCAGTGTTCTCAATTATACCTATTAAATCATATGTACTAAGCTTATCATGTTTATCTCTCATAGTCTGAGCACTAGTATATAGAAAATGAAGGACATGAACTTTATAAGAAAATGTTATCTCTGATTTTTCATTGAGTGGTTGATTATACCCAGTTTAATAATTATTTCACTTATTTCTACAGTATACAGGTTCTTACATTAAGTTTTTTGTCTGTATATACCCCTGATGCACCTTAAAGTTGTCCTGATCAGACATGCTTGGCTCAGTAAGTCATTCTAAGGTTTAGTATATGTATATAAAATGAAAGGATCAGAGTAAAACACCAGTCTGTACTACAGTACACACAGATTTGTTAAGTATTAGTATGACTAACAAATAAGCCATTATGATACACCATTGTACAAAGAGGGAAGATTAAACTTACAAATGCAATTATAATTCTGTAAGGCTTTAAAATAACATCACTGAAGCAATGAACATGAAATTGAGCAAACTCTGGGAGGCAGTGAAGGACAGGAAGGCCTGGCACAATATGGTTCATGGGGTCATGAAGAGTTGGACACGACTTAACGACTGAACAACAGTCCATGTAAATGGACATAAAAGCAAGTTTGTAAACTTCTGGCCTATAGTATATGAGCTGAAACAGAATGGAGTGCTGGAACTACTGTAGAAATTAT